GGCCATTTTTTGGTTGCAGCCATCATTGTTGTTTGGCGGGCCCGGGCTGGGGATTCGAACCTGCCACCTTAGGTGTATGTGGCTGGCGCCTTAGCTGCTTTAGCCACAGGCGCCAAGCCTGCCTTGTGTTTCTCCATCACACTCACCACCTAATATATTATACAGTTCACTTATTTACACTACTTCTTTTCTGTCACTAGAATATACATTCCATGTGGGTAGGGTTGTTTCATTTCATTTTGTTTTTCAGTTTTTGGCCGAGGCCGGGTTTGAACCCGCCACCTCCAGTATATGGGGCCGGCGCTCTACTCCTTTGAGTCACAGGCACTGCCTGGTAGCGTTTTTTTTTTTTTTTTTTCCCCTGTTCTGTTTACTGCTGTCTCCTGGTAGACAGTACCTAGAACAGTGCCTGCTACACAATATTCAAGCTATGTTTGTTGAATGAATAAATAAACGAAAGCTGGACAGAGGTCAGATTGTGCGGGGTGGTTCTGGGCAAAGGGGATGAGAGGCAGTCGGGGAGGAATGAGTGTTGTTTAGGTGAAGGGAGGAGAAACCTCCCAGAGCCCTGCCAGGTTAGAGCCAGAGGAGGGCTTCATTCACACGCTAGAAAGAGTGGCTGGGTGGAAGCAGTGCCCCCTGGCCCCAGTGCTTGTTAATCTGAAATGCAAAGTTTGAAACAGGCAGGTTCAGTGGTCTGATGAAGAGGAGCCAGGGGAGATGGCCCACAGGAGAGAATATGGAAGCAACCACATCTCCCAGCCCCCAAAGCTCCATGCGGCAAGGGGCCATGCTGGGGCTCAAGCTCCTGCCTTCTGGGGAGACTGCAGTAGCCCTGGTGTTACCACCCTGCCCTGCCTCAGGCCATGTCATCTTCTTGTCTATCCAAGGCTGCCAATGGGGCAGTAATTGTCAGCCCCATCCAAGGGAAGAGGGCAGGCACTAAGGCTAAGCTTTAAACAATTTTTGAACCATCCTTTCTTGGGATTGCACTACTACCGTCCAATGACCACATAGCGAGGGCAGTACTGCTAATACCCACACAACACACCCGCCTCAACTCCAGCTTTGCTTAACATTGGTGCAATTTTTGGAAAATAAAAAAACCTCATACAAATGGCAAAACATAACTATAGTCCAGAAAGTAGAAGGGAAGAGGAGAGAGAGGGGAGGGAGGCGGGATATGGGAGGAGGGAGGGCACTTAGGAGAACCTCACCTAATGTGCATGATGCAATGGTACATTTCAAAACTATTAAGAAATGAGTATGGTTGTGATGGATGTGTTATGTAGTTCAATGTAAACATTTCACATTGTATATTGAAGCAGTACCTTGAACCCCATAAATGCATCAATTTGCAAAGTTATGATTTAATAAAAAATAATTTTAAAAAAAGAAAAAGAAAAAATCCTCTTTTCTCTGAAAAGAAAAAATTTTTTTTGCGATAGGATCTCATTCTGTTGCCTGGGCTAGAGGACAGTAGTGATTATAGCTCACTGTAACCTTGACCTCCTGGGCTCAAGCAATCCTTCTGCCTCAGCCCTTCAAGTAGCTAGGACTATAGGCACACACTACCACACCTGGCTAATTAAAACACATTTTATAGAGACCAGTACTGTCTCACTATTCAGCTATCTCAAACTGTCTCAAACCATGCTGGTCTCAAACTCCTGGCCTCAAGCCATCTTCCCTCTTGGACCTTCCAACGTGCTGGGAACTGCAAAGGCCTGAGCCACCATTCCCAGCTGAGGCTAAGTTTTTGGGATTTTTGGTTTTTTTGGGTTTTTTTTTTTTGAGATGGAGCCTCAAGCTATCCCCCTGGTAGAGTGCCATGGCATCACGCTCACAGCAACCTCCAACTCCTGGGCTCAAGCGAGTCTCCTGCCTCAGCCTCCCAAGGTGGGTGGGACTACAGGCGCCCGCCACAACGCCTGGCCATTTTTTGGTTGCAGCCATCATTGTTGTTTGGCGGGCCCGGGCTGGGGATTCGAACCCGCCACCGTAGGTGTATGTGGCTGGTGCCTTAGCCGCTTGAGCCACAGGCGCCGAGCCTAAGTTTTTGTTTTTAGGATTGTTTTGGATGCAAGTCACAGAAATACTACTTGACTTGGCCAGTCTGAGCTCGGCACCCCAGTAAACAGAGGCTGAGGCCAACCTTAACACGCTGTCACTTTGCTGTGGGCTTCGATCCTGGGGCAGCACGAATAAGGGAACAGGAGTGAGTGAAGCACAGAGGGAAGGAGGGAAAGCAAACACCAGCTAGTGTGGTATCAAGCTGGCCCCAGAGGCTCAGCAACGGGGTTGGGTCCCACAAGGGTTCCAGATCAAATACGGGCTATCTGGCTAAATCTGAATTTCAGATTTGCTAATCTGTATTTGCTAATTTTGACAACCCTAGTCCCATAAGATGTCTCCAGGAAGGCCTCACTGAACAGTTGACTGGGGAGAGAAAAAGCAGAGATGTGACCGCTCAGGTCCTCTCCAAATCCTGATCTTGTAGTCAGAGTTTCAGAGTTTGCCCATGGGAATGTTCACTCCCCCACATTTCTGAGTTACACTACTTGGCTTATCTGCACGGTCAAGGGAAAGCCAAAGCCTCCACGAGTCCATTCAGGTAGGACTTGTGCACGGATGTGGCAGCAGCTCCCACTAAGTGGAATCCCTCGGTGTGGCGGTGACTTTTTGTTAAGCGAGTAGTGAAGGACTGAAAGTAGAAGTGGGGAACAAGAGAGAGAAACAAGGAGGGCAGGTGGGTTCCTGCCCAGGTACGGTTTTATTGCTACTCTATTTCTTTGGTTTCTTCTGTTTTGACTTGGCTTTTGCTAAGGTCTGAATGTGGTAGCCTCCCAAATCTCACATGTTGGAACTTTACCCCCGTGGTGATGGTATTCAGAGGAGGATCCTTTGGAGGTGAGTAGGTCATGAACGACTGGTGCCCTTGTAAGAGGGCTTGACGGGCCTGACCGTGCCTTCCACCCCTTCTGCCCGTGAAGACTCAGCAAGAAGCTGCCACTTTGGAAGCAGAGAGCAAGCCCTCACCAGACAACTGAATCTGCCCACCCTTTAATCTTGGACTTCCCACAACTGTGACAAATACATTTCTACAATCTATAAATTGCCCCGTCTAAAATATGTTGTTATAGCAGCTAGAAGTGGACTATGACAGCTTTACTCTCAGGCAGATTCTCTCAAGGTGACAAAAAGCACCCCAGAGAATCTAGATGTGTCCAATTCTCTCTTCAAGGCATAAAAGTCTTCTTTCTTCCAACAGATCTACCTCCCTCTCCTGCAAAAAAGACCCAGACTCGAGAGTCCTCCAGCTCTGACTGCCCTGGATAAGGTCAAGTGCCGCACCCCAAGAGAGCCACTGTGTAGACTGATGGAAAAGCAGCTGTGGCCAGAGTGACACAAGGCAGAGGAAGAAGGGTAAGAGCACCCATGCTGGGGGATGCACGGTGGTCTGTGCCTGGTTCCCCAGCCACATCGCAGAATTTGGAGCTCCTGGAACACAGAGAGTGGGGCTAGTTCATCTCTGGGCTCCACAGTCAAGCCCTGGAAGCTGGGGACTGATGGCTTTTGAATGAATGAAGGTACAAATGAACCTTTGTTTTCTTTTCTCTTTTCTTTTTTTCTTGAGACAGAGCCTCAAGCTGTCACCCTGGGTAGAGTGCTGTGGCATCACAGCTCACAGCAACCTCAAACGAGTCTCCTGCCTCCGCCTCCCAAGTAGCTGGGACCACAGGTGCCCACCATAACACCTCGCTATTTTTTTTTTT